AGAAAGAAAGAAAGAAAGAAAGAAAGAAAGAAAGAAAGAAAGAAAGAAAGAAAGAAAGAAAGAAAGAAAGAAAGAAAGAAAGAAAGAAAGACAAACTTACCTGGCCTGAAATAGGCAAAACTATTTTTAAGGGTTTATTTTCTAAGCTGAGAGTTCTAGCATAGCCTATCTTTTTTTTTTTTTTAAAAAAAAAAAGGATATGATACCCTCACTCATTCAATACTTTAACTAAGGATTCAGTGTTCCAGGTTTGACATGAAAGGATTATATGCTGGATTATATGATGCTTTATGCAGACATTCTCATTAAGGAAACGGTGATATCTGCCTGGAGACTTATCCTCCTCTGAAAGCCTGGCAGTGCCACTGAATGATTATTTACTGTGACCAAAACACTAGTAAGGAGACAACATTCTTGTCTCCTTACATGCATGGAGCCTGTGATAGTATCTTTAACTTGCCCCATTAAGTATAAAGATAAAAGGGAAATGAAAGGAGAAAGGAAAATCAAGAAAATGGGTAAAAAATATGTGGGAAGGGACACAGCAAAAAGAAACCTAGTGCAGGAAACAAATACCTCATTTTTTTACATCTCCACTGCTACCATCTCCAAACTCTATCCATGTTTCTCTTTACTATAATCTACCTATTTTGCAAACACTTCAAAAATATATAGAAGCCTTTTTGTCAACTATACAGTGAAAAGTTACCAACAGGTTTGTCCTTCTGTCTCACCTGCACCTGACCTAGAAGACTTGTTGGGAGATTTGTCAGTGCTATGGAGGACAACACTGGGCTGAAGGTGGCTGGTGCAGCACAAGCTCCCACTTCTGTATGCTGCAGCACCGGGGCTCTACCTACGACACAGCCAAAAGCTTGCAATTTCCTGTGACATTTTAGAAACTGGTCGAGAATCACCTAGAATTCTTAAGGCATTGAAATACAAGGTGTCCTATCACAGGGAAAATTTAATCTGAATATACTTGCAGACACAGCACATGCACACACAGGCAGAGATGCTTTCAGTGCTCACGAACAAAAGGGTTGCTCAAATACAGCTGGTTCTCACTAGAAACCAAGTAACCGAGGAAAGTATATCATTACTCTTCAATCCATGCATCTTCAAAGCACCCTGGTCAGTAATGGAACAGATCCTCTGAAGGAATCTCTGGTCCCTGTAACTCACTCCTACTACTACCCTGAGAAGGAATTAATCTATATCTCAGTTTCTAGGCACTCACTGAGGGATCAGCCCCCCACACTGCATGGACAAGTAGGAAGGATGCCTGTCCCTGTCCCACACCACTTATAAGCCCTGTTACTGGCAGCACAGCAGTAAAGGAGATGAGAGAACTGGAAGGTGAAGCAATGGACAGCACAACCCAGAAACCAAGCCTCAGTTCAGCTTCTGTCTGCCTGGTGCCAGGTAAGAGAAATGCAGAGGCCTCTCAGCAGAGAGAGGCTTCAAGGAAGTATCAAAAAACCCAACCCAGTAAAATGGTGGCTACCTCAGATTTCCAGAGGCATAGGGCTGTGACTGGAGAATCAGCAAGTGGATTTCTTGGGACTGAAAGAGCAAAAAAAATGGTCAACATCTTGAGCCAGTCATAGGTGAGAGATGCTGTCTGATGAAGAGCCCTAAAGACTGTCACTTTAAGGAGGCAGTTGCTTCCATTTTTCAAAGGATAGAAGCCAGAAGCCTGTCGAAAAATACTATCAACAACTACTTCAGTTTAATCACAGAAGCAAACTCAGTTAAAAGGGATGGTACAGTAGGAAGTTGTGCAAAGGAACAACGGATTTCTTTTTCTTTCCCACAAAAAAGAAGGTGCTTGGCAGTCCCACAGAATGCCTTTGATCTCAAGACTGAACTAAGCAACAAAACAAGAAAAAATGAAAGAAGAAATTAAAAAGGATCTCTGGAAGAATGCAGTATGCATACATCTTCCCTCCACATACTGCCTTGCCTCTGTCTCTCCAGACACAAGCGACTCCTGAAAGCTGGTAAGGTACAACACAGAGAGCAGCCCCACATGCCCTGACATGCATCAGACACTTTCATAAGGCTCTAACAGATCCTCCATTCTGCTCTATCTTAGCTAGATATGTTAATAAGCGACCAAGATTTATTGTGCTATAGTTCCATTTTACAGCTAAACATAGTGATCTTCTCAACAGCATTCTCCCTCTTAAATTCCCAAGGGTAGAAAAACACAGTTCGTGGAGTTTAAGGATGTTCTATATCTTTAATTTTGAGGCCATCGTCACTGCTAGATTAAAACTGCACTGGCTGAGTCTATCTACAAAAATACAGTTATCAACCCTCCACAGGCTTGCAGAAGGTCAGGGCAGCCAGGCAGGGAAAACCTAAAATTCAAGAAAGACTGTCTCTGCATTAGGTCTCAATTTAGAAGTGCCTTGGGTATTTCAACACTTACTTAAGGTTAGGCATGTGAGTCCTCTCACTTAAGTCACAGGAGCTATTTGTGGGCTCAGAAGTTAGACACGCATTAAGCACCCTCCTGACTTGTGACTTCAGATCATACTGTCTGTGAAGCAGAGTCCACTGCTCAATACCGCCTTGTCCATCCCTTTACATGATGATCCTATCTGCTCTGGGATCTAAGAGCTGCTATATAATAATTATTTAATTTAAATTACATCAATTAAGATCAATTAAGGCTTCAAGTT